CCAAAGTTTCGTTGTGTCCCTTTGTAGTCCCTCCCTCCCAGGATCATTCCTGGACAGGGACGTATGGGTGACTGGAGGTCAGGAACCACCTGTGAACGGCTCAACAGCTCCTGCTTCGGTCTGTGTTCCTAGTGCAGGTTCTCCAGATGCCAGGCTGGGGAAGACCTCACAGGCCATCTTGGCCTTTAGCGCTCAACTTGAGGAGCACCTCCTAGTGGAAGCCTGCCTGACTCCCTCCCTGGGCCTCCAGAACTTTCCATTCTGCGGTGTACTGGCCTCTTTCTCTCCCGTGCCCAGTGATCCATGACCTCCACAAAGATGGAGACCCCCTTCAATTCAGAGGGCCTGGCTTAGAGCAGATGCTCAGGAAATATTTGTTGAATGAATACATGAAATAGAAGACAGAAGAGATGCACGCAAGGGTGAATGGGTGAGTAAATGAAAAGTATTTTCCCAATGATGTCAATGATATAAGACTGTTTGTATTAAAGATGGTATCTCCTTAAAGAACAAGGGAAAGCCCAGGAGAGGTTGAAATGGGAGGAAAGCTCTGAAACACAACTGGAGCCAATAGTCCATTCTTGGAGGGACCTGGGAAATACATGTGCCTGGAATGAAACCTTGTCCCGAACATCCCTGCTGGCCGGCTCTGGGACCTCAGGTCCACTTTGGGAGCCCTGGGCAGAGCTGTCCCCAGCAGCCAGGGATGAGTCTCACTAGGGGGCACTCTTCCATCACACTGGCCCTGCCCAAGCAGACACAGAAACCTGCCCCAGGCTCTTTTCTACAAGGAACCCTGCAAACCCTGGGGCCTCCTCACATTCCCTGTGGCCTCTGGCCAAGAGCAGAGGTTCTTTCCAAGCAGCAGTGAGCATCCACCAAATCGGTACCCACTCAGTACAAAGTAGCTTTGCAGAAAAGACCAGTGTCTGGGGTTACGTTGATATTTCAAAACGATCTTCCCTCCTTTACTGCCTCAAATATGCCAGTTCTGAGATCTCCATCCCCATCACCTTCCCCAGCCTGAGGGCTGCTCAGATAAGAATAAATTGAAAAGTGGACTCCTGCAGTTGACCCGTTTATTCACAATATACACCGGACACACCTGTCTGTAGGGCTAGGCCAGTGGAAATTCTGGGCAGTTATAGACCCCAGAGCAGGGAGGGGAAATGGGAGCAGTGTTCAGAGATCCTGCCCCAGGGGGACTTCACTGCCCGCAGGAATCATCCCAGCCTTGGGCCTGCAGAAGCATCAGAAGCCAAGGGGCACGGATGGAGGCCAGCGGCTTGAGGGGTGTGTGCAGTTTGGAAAGTTAGGGCTCCTTCATTTTTTAGGATAACATCCTCTTACCTCAACCATTGTGGGGCCTAATTTCCAAAATGCTCCAACTCTGGAGGAATTAATCCCCCGAAAGACATAGACCCTGTGAAGCAGCCAGTGCCTGATGGAGATTCGAGCCTGATGCCTGGAATAGAAGGAGGGGTGGTGGTGGAAGGAGAGACTTAGGGGGAAACCTGGGCTGGGGGAGGGCCGAGAAGGGGGCAGAAAGTGGGCCACAGGGACTTGCAAAAGGACAAAGAGAAGAAGACCCCCCAGCTTGACTCTTGGAAGTGGAGATGGGAACTTCCATCTCAACGTCCAGGCTCTTCCTGTGAATTTGCTCCCTGCTCCAGATTCTGGTGGGCAGCCTGTGTCCCATAACCTGTCAAAGGAAGTGTCCAGGGGAGGCTGGAAGGGAGGATTTCACAACTAGCAGAGTCTTCCTTTGATGCTGCCCCCTGGGCCCTGGAGGCCCTCCTTCACCAATCAACCATTTGGGAAGTAAGGGGACCATTCCCTTCCCAGCTCCATGGGGGACCTGGTCTGCTGGAGTCTAGCTTAGAACTTGCCTTTATTTTTCCTGTTGGGTGCAGTGGGGAACAGTGGCAGGGTCAGACTGAGGCCACGTCACAGGCACAGACCCAGGCCGGAGCCCAGGCCCAGGCTAAGCAGGGATGAGGGTGTGGGTGCCTGGATCCCTTGCTAAGCCATGTACAGACCTATGAGGCAGCCACACCCCTGGGAGCTGCACCCTCCTGAGCAAAGGCATCAAGCCTGGCTTACTCTGAGAACTGGGTCACCACTGCATCTTTCCTGGGCAGGATTCCAGGTCCAGCCAGCCACACTCTCACCTGGGAAGAATCATTACCTGCAGGGAGAGGGGGCTAAGGGAGAGGGAGGCAGTGTGGACAGCGACGGACAAAGCTGGGAAGTAGAAAGCACTGGCTTACTAGGTGAGCCTCTCTTCCCCTGCTGTGTGTGTGTGTGTGTGTGTGTGTGTGTGTGTGTGTGTTAGCCGGCTGGCCAGCACAGCACCCACCTGTGCACACCTGCCTCCGGCACATCTGAGCTATGATGACCCTCTTACCCAACCACCCTGCAGAGCCAGGCGGGTTCCACTGAGGCCCCTGGCCCTGCCCTGCCCTGCCCTGCCTGGGAGGCCCTGCCCTCCATCCTTGCAGAGAGAAGGGAAAAAGAAGAAAAATGTGTGTAAATTTCCCATCCAGGTTTCAGGATCTCTCTCCTGCTTCTGTCTCAGGAACACAGAGGTACACAATCAGGGGGTCCCTTTTAGGGCTGCAGCAGGCCTGCCCAATCCAAGATGTGCCTCCTGACTCCAGCCATCTTGAGCCGGCCCCTTTCTGCAACCATCTCAAGGATGTTTGCCCAGCATTTTGTCCAGTGTCGCCACAAATGCCCCTGAAACACAGAGCTGTACCATGCGACCTTTTCCCTGACTTTGCAACCGGAGTGCACATGCCCACACCCACTCTCACACTTCCACCAAGAGTTCCCAAGAAGAATGCTGTCCACAGAGTAAGAGGCCACCTGGGTACCTCTTCTCTGTTTCTTTTTATTTCTAAAATCCCTACCTATTGTATCTAGTCGGGACAGCGGCATCTTGGCCATAGCTCCTCTTGGTGAGGTGGTCCTTGGATGACCAAATATCCCCTAACTTGACACAAATAACTTATTTTCTCATATGTCTTAGCCGATCACTTCAGGAATACCTTGAAGATATTGCAGATTCAATTCCAGACCACCACAATAAAGTGAATATTGCAATAAAGCAAGTCACACAAATTTTTTGGTTTCCCAGTGCATATAAAAATTATGTTTCCAGTATACTGCAGTCTATTAAGTGTGCAATAGCATTATGTCTAAAATAACAATGTATGTACCTTAATTAAAAAATACTCTATTGCTCATCATCTGAGCCTTCAGCAAGTCATAATCTTTGTGCAATAGTAACATCAAAAATCACAGATTTCCATAACAAATAAAATAAAAATGAAAAAAAACTGAAATATTGCTAGAATTACCAAAACGTGACACAGAGACAGAAAGTGCGCAAATGCGGCTGGAAAAATGGTGTTGATTGATAGACTTGCTCAATGAAAGGTTACCACAAACCTTCAATCTGTGAAAAATGCAGTATCTGTGAAGTGCAGTAAAGCATAGCACACTGAAACGAGGTACTCCTGTGTTTGAAACACAATATTTGGCTTCCAAGTAAATCACACACACACACACACACATTTTGGGGGAGGGTTTTATTAAAAATTAACAATGTCCCTGGCTAGTAAACAGCTCTTTGAACTTACCAAGTTTTCTTGTCCCAGTCCCTTACAGTGAATCTCGCAATTGCAAACTCCACCGTGAGGCGAGGTGGAGAGGACCCAGTCAGGGATGGAAGTCAGCCCTCATTCTCAGGATGGACAGGGACCTGGGCCTCACACATGGAAGTGTTGAGAGGCCCTGTGTGGTGAGGGCCCAGGAGGATCTGTCACAGCAGGCTTTCAGAAAGGGGGGTTTCCACCAGCACAGATGGACCAGCCTAGTGCAAAGGCTGGGGAGGAAGGGTCCCAGGGGTAGAGGCCAGAATTCCATCCAGAGGGGGAACAGCAGAAGCAGCGGAAGTGGACACAAGGGAGGGCTCCTGGCTGGCAGGGTTGTGGATGGAAATGAAGAAACCACAACAGAGAGAGGGCAGATGAAGAAAGGAGGGCTCCCAGGGCCTTCGCTGTCCACCTAGGGAACCCGGATTCTGGTGGCTGTGGAAAAGTTCTGGGAATGAGAACCTGCAGCCCGCTGGTTACCTGGCTTCATCACTTACTCTCTGTGTGACGCTGGGCAAGCTAATTAACCTCTGTGAACCTTGGTTTCCTCATTTATAAAACACGGGTGATAACAGAAATCCCTGGGAGGATAACTGGAAGGGCTGGATGGGACGACCAGGCGGAAGCACAGCGTGCGCTTTCAGTAAAGGGCTGCTCCTTACTAACTTCTTCGGGAAGAACTGGACAAAGCGCCTGGCGGCGGGTGATTCAGCTAGTTAAGTGGATCAAATTAACCAGGTTTTTCAACCCAGATTCACCCTTCCTGTAGAGACAGATCCGAAAAGAGCTGGCGAAGGTGTTTGTAAACAAGAAACGTGCAATTCGAAGGTTGCCGCCGGCGACAACCAGCGAGGCTTAGTGCTGAAAGCAAGAGTCATCTCTTCCCCGGGGGCAAGGTTCAAGCCGCGCAGATAGGGACATCTTTGCAGTCCTCCATCCCCGTACACAACACACACACACACACACACACACACACACACACACCAAGGGCCCTCACCCCCAACCACGTCCCTAAGCAACACCCCGAGTCCCTCGGGGGCATGCGATGTATAGCCCTCTGTGTCGTCCGGCCGATGGATTTGGAGGAGAGAGGAAGGCAGGGACGTGGCTGGAGGAGGTCAGGGGCCAGGTTGGACTCAGTCCCCAGCAGCTCCGAAGGCAGAGCAGGGGGTGCAGGCCGGAAAGGGTCGCCGCGAGTCCAGGAGGCCGCGGCCTCCGGGTCCTCAGCGCCGCCTCCCCGGAGGAAGGCGGGGGCGGGGAGGAGGGGGCGGGAGGAGGCGGAGGGCGGAGGAGGGCGGCGCGCTGCGAGGTTATTTGTGGTTCGCTTTGATCCCGAGGGGGAACCTGAAACTCTCACATTCCTGGCATAGCAGCCGCCTCCGGCGCTGGCCGACCCTGGGGCTGCGTGCTGGGGCCCTAGCGGCCAGAGCGTCGGCGCCACGGCCGAGACCACACCTCAGCCGCCGCGCTGAGCCGAGCCGGGCCGGGCCGGGTCGTCGGGTCTGACCGCGCCGAGCACCCGCGGGCCGCTGCGGTAAGGAAGGCCGCTCGGCGCTTTGGGGAGCGCGCGGGGCCGCAGAGACTCGCCCCAGCCGAAGCCCGAGCCCCGCCGCAGCCTGGGCTTTTCCGGGAGCGGGAGCGGGAACAGAGCGGACCCAGCGTCCTCCAAGGCACAGCGCGCCTTTCCCGGCAGCCGCGAAGCAGGGCAAGGGCCGCTCCGCCCGGGGGTGTCTCTCGAAGGCGCGCGGCCGGAAGGGTCCGCTGGGGCTGGAGGAGGGGGCAGCCTCTGGGGAGAACGTAGTGGGTGTTTGGGGTCGCGGGTCGGGAAGAGGGGATGCGGATCTGGGCGGAAGGCGCCGCTTGGAACTCAGTTTGCAGCGCCCTGGGGGCTGATTTGGGTAGGTAGGGGTTACAGGTGTCTTTGCCCCCCAACTAGCCCAAGAATTCCTCTTTGTCTTACTTGGAAAATCCTCTCTCGAGCCACGGTCTGGCTCTCACTTAGAAAGAATGCAGCTTGCAGTCCAGCCCGCTGACGTCAGCGCTGGAGCATTTGGAAAACAAAGAGGGCTCGGGAGGGAGGGAGGGAGGCGGCTCCACGACGCTTAAAGACCTCTCCGGACCACGGGCTACCGCCGTCCACCCCGCTCCCGGCGCAGCGGCGGCCACCGGGTGCTCGTAGTCAGCCAGGAGTCCGGGTAGGGCGGGATGAGGTGCGGTCTGACTAGAGACCCTCGCTTTGGTTCCTTAGGCGAGCGTGAGCCCAGGCAAAGGCCGGAGTTGCGTGCTTGCTTAGAAGAGGGTGTTTCAGAGACCTGGGCGCGCTAGTGCAGCAGGGGCGCACGGCCCGGGTCGCGGGCGCAGATTTTAGTAACGGCTCAGCTGAAAGGATGTGCATCCGAGGGGCTTGACCGGGACAAACGCGGGATGAGAGGCGCGGGAGGTGTTCCCTGCACCCAGGCACACTGCTGGTGGGGAGAGGGCCTGGAATCTGTCCGGAAAGCTGCATTCTCCGGTCCTCCTCGGCTGCAGTCAGCCCAGACAGTGATTAACTTAGGAATGCCCCGTGGATGCAACGCTAGGGAGAATTGATTCCGGTTTGTTTTGCCTCGGTTAACTCTAGAGTCTTGCATCTCCCTCCTTGTGTGTTTGGGGCGGGGAGAATGAGGGGGTGCCAGGAAGGATGAATACAGAGTACCCTCCAGACACATCTCCCTCTCCTCGGTTTTGGGCAGCTGGGAGGAGGGAGTGGAATGGCTGCTCTGCCAGTTGGCCAAGCCCTAACTTGAGCAGGGCACTGGGACTAGTTTTGGGGCAGAGGAAGGGCTGCGTTCCTCCCACTGTCCTCCTCCCATGCGCACAGGACCTCCGGAGGTGTGGGTTTTGTTTGGTCTTCCCTGAATCCCAGTTTGGAGGTCTGTGGTAGAGGAGGCTGTGGAAAGGAAGCTGGGTGAGGTGGGCAGCCTGCCAGGCCATGAGCCACTGGGAGCCCAGGCTCAGAAGGGAACACCTTCCGCAGGAGATATTATCTCCCTGCAGTTTAGGCTCAGAGCCCCCAGCCCCAGGTCCCTGCAGCCAAGAGCCTCCCTGCTCGCTCCCTTACTTCTTCAGTCGGCTCAAGTGGTGTTGCTGATGTCAAGATGCTGATGGCCCATCATCCCCAGCGTGCCTAGAGGGCCATCAGGGCACATCCAAGGAGCAAGTGTGTGTGTAGCTGGGGGTGGTAATCATAAAATCGAAGACATCGTGCCACCCTTTCTTTTTTCCTGGAGCACGTGTGCACTTACTGTCAGCGCACAGACTATGTGACTGGCCCACAAACCTTGATGGGTGGCATCTTTTTGCCTCATCTCACAAAACCACTGTCCTATTATAGTCTCTCTTCTTTCATCCCTTATTCACCAATCCAGATGCATTTTTTCCTTCTTCCTGTTCACCTTGCAGAGTGACTGCCAAGGTCATCCCATGACAGGGAGGGCTCAGCAGAGTAAAGGGTGGTGAGTTAGCTGTGCCAAGGCCGGCACTCAGGCATGCTTCATCCTAGACGGTCCTGGGGTCTGTTTGCCTAGGGCTTCTACCAGGCTGGAATCATTCTTTATCACCTGCCAATAAACGGGCCCTGTCCACCCCTGGACTGGAAGGCTAAGTGGTTAGAGCTGAATTAGGCCTGCGCTAGAGTCACTCATCAGGCTCTTTGATGGGAAGCTGACTGCGGGAGGCCAAGGTTCCTGGTGTCTAGGTTACTGGTGTTTTTCTCTCGGCACAGTAAGTCTCCATGAATATGATTATAATGGCAGTCCTTTACCAGGGATTTACTGTACACCAGGAGCTCAACAGCCATTTCCTGTTTTAATTCCCAACTCCGTGAGGCTAGCATTTTTCTTTCCATATTTCCGATGGAGAAACTGAGGCTCGGAAGTTAAGTGACTTGCCTTAATCAGCAGATGGCAGCATTGGCAGTTGAGCCCAGGCTTGTGTGCCCCTCCATAGCCTTGCTCTTTACCATTATGCCTTTGACCAGACAGTAATGGAAAGGGCCCCCCTTTCCCATGTGCTCCCACTGAGTGGTCTTCTTTCTCTCCTCCCAGGTGCTCTGGGGCCAGGTGCCGCTGGCCTCTGTCCAGGCAGTTGTGTGCAAGCCCAGGAAGCATGAGGACACTGGAAGACTCCTCGGGTACGGTCCTGCACCGCCTCATCCAGGAGCAGCTGCGCTATGGCAACCTGACCGAGACCCGCACGCTGCTGGCCATCCAGCAGCAGGCCCTACGGGGTGGGGCTGGGGCTGGGGGCACAGGGAGCCCCCAGGCCCCCCTGGAGATCGTGGCCCCCGAGGACAGTCAGGTGCTGCAGCAGGCCACAAGGCAGGAGCCCCAGGGCCAGGAGCACCAGGGCACCGAGACCCACCTGGCAGAGAACAGCCTCTACCGGCTGTGCCCACAGCCCGGCAAGGGCGAGGAGCTGCCCACCTATGAGGAGGCCAAAGCCCACTCGCAGTACTATGCGGCCCAGCAGGCGGGGCCCCAGCCACATATGGGATACCGGGATCCCCGCGGGGCCCCGGGTGGCAGTCGGAGGCAGGATGAGGCCCTGCGTGAGCTGAGGCACGGGCACGTGCGCTCCCTGAGCGAGCGGCTCCTGCAGCTGTCCCTGGAGAGGAACGGGGCCCGTACCCCCAGCCACATGAGCGCCTCCCACAGCTTCCCCCAGCTGGCCCGCAACCAGCAGGGACCCCTGCCCAGGGGCGCCCCTGCAGAGGGCCCGGAGCCCCGCGGACCTCCACCTCAGTACCCACACATCGTGCTAGCTCATGAGACCACCTCCGCTGTCACCGACCCGCGGTACCGCACCCGTGGCAGCCCGCACTTCCAGCATGCGGAAGTAAGGTAACTGCCCACCTCGGTCTTCAAGCTCTTGGCTTCCAGCGTAGTTCTCCCAGGGTGAAGAGCCTCCAGAATCCTGGCGAGCTCCAGAGGAAGGCCGATGATACCCTCTCCCTCCCAAGATGGGAGCTAATGCTGGAAGGAAAGAGGGATTTAGCCAGGGTCACATGAGAACTTAGCGGCATCCCTTGCTTTAATTTGGAGGTGGACACCATTGTCTAATTGCCTGTAGCAGTTGAGTAACTAGGGTTCTCGGAGGCTATGAATTACAGCAGGGGTTGAAGGTTGGGTTTCAGAAAGAACTTGCAAAGACAAGGGTTGGGAATCATTGCCAAACTGTTTCCAAGTTAAGTGGGAAGAAGGTGGAACCTCCTTCTCTGGAGGTTTCTAAGAACAAGTGGACATGTTTGCTTTCTTGATTACTGGGAGGCATTCCTAACTGTAGGCAGGAAGAAAGGACCAGATGGCCTCCTTAGGGACCTCTCCCCGCTCCTACACCGGGGCGGGAGCTGCCCTGTCCCTACCATTCATTTCCTTTCATGTTTTTCTGTGTGGTCCATGTGGCTGGAGCCTGGAGTGGGAGAGGATTCTTGGTCCAGGTGAGCCCCTTTCTGTGGAGGCTCTGGAGAGGCTGCTGCTGGGGCGCTTAGTGTTTGATTCTCAGTGTGAAGGGAAGCCTTTAGAGGATGCGATTTGGCTTACCTTTTTAAACCGGTTCCTCTGCTGCATGTAGAGAATGGATTCTAGAGGCTAGAATGGAAGCAGGCATGCCCGGGAGGGGCAGGAAGCCCAGATAGTTTGCAGAAATAGGGTTCCTAGAAATGAGGCTATCACTTGGCCCCGCACCTTCTCCTGAGAAGCTGACACACGCCCTTTTCACACGCCCTGCATCTCCCCCGCACAGGGGTCCAGGAAGCCCCACCAGAGGAGCCTGAAGGTTTGCAGACTCCCTCTTCCTCTGATGGCCCAAGGTCCAAGTCTGATTCTCTTCACGCCTGCTGAGTCCTCATTTAGTCACCCACTTTCCCACTGTGTGCCCTTTCCCGGGAAGGATGGCTTTCTTAGCTCTCGAGAAATGAGTGACGTGATAGCTTGGAATGAAGGGACCGGAAGATGGAGCCTGTGGGTTTTCGCCACTCTCCACCTCCCAGGCCCCCCTACCTTATCTCCTTTCTCAGGGCTCAGTCCTGGGAGAGTTTCGGAAGCTGAGTCGTGGTTTCTTCTCTTGGACCAGCCTTATTGAGCCTGTCAGGAAAAGATAATGTCGTGGAAAGGAAGTAGACTGTTTGCAGGAGAACAAAAAAAGAGGGAGGGGGAGGGGCGAACAAGGGGAAGGGAGAGCAAGTGTGAAGGAAAGGAGGCTCTATTCTTTCTTGGAGCCAAGTCATCCCCAAAGAATGCCATTTGTGTCTGCCTGGCCCAGGGCAGGGGGAGCAAGTTCAAGAAGCAACCCCAAGATGCCACATTTAGCAGCACAGGGAGAGTTTGCACATTCCTGTGGGGACTCTCACCTCTCACTGGAAGCTCTACCTTGGGCAGTAAGAGAAGCACATCTGCCAGCCTCTCCTTTGGCTGATCCGATGAGGCTTGCTTTCTGGGAACTGGGGGCAGGGACTGTTCTTATAGCTCAGGGTCATAAGAGGGGCAGGGGAGAGCCGGAGTCTGGAGGGGGAAGGATGAAGGGGAGGGATGAGGGGAAGGGCAGGCATAGGTGCTGAGGTGATGGACCCATGTGGGGCTTCCGGGACTTGGGAAAGTTCCTGGTGAAACTGAGGCCATCAGCTCTTTTACACTTAGAGCCACAAGGCCCCAGAAAGGCTCTGTGACCCCACAGGCCTCTTGCTCTTTGCTCCTTCCCTTGACATGGGGCCCTGAGGCTGACGTTACACAAGTAGGACATTGTCCCTAAACTCAGGCTATTGTCATAGTCCTGAGGCAACCACTACGCCCCAGAAAATCCAGTGTTTGGGTCACATTTACTCTTGGAGCAGAGAGTAAGCTGCGGTCTCCACTAGGAGAGACGGAGGATGGGCCATCATTGCGGGAACGCCCACTGCAGGCCCAGCACTCTGCCAGGCAAATGTAGCCCTCACAAACCCCCTTGAGGCTGAGAACCTTACCCTCATGATCGAGCAGAGTCCTGCCGCACCGTGGGCTTAAACACTGGAGGCAGAGTTTGAATGCCTATTTTGTCAGACTCTGGAGCCCAGACTCTACCCCTGACATCTGTCTCGCTGCTCTAACCTTAGCCTCAGTCTTCTAAAACTGTTTTTTCAAGGGCTGACGGGACCCAAAATAGGAGGGAGAAGAAGTGAGTGTGAGCACAGGGCCTGACACCAGGGGCCGGAACAGACACCAAGTGGCCCAGGGGCCTGGAAGTTTGTGTGTTCCGTCATGATGGATGTGACCTCCACACTCAGAAAGAGCATTCTATTGATGAGAAGGGTCAGGAGTGCACTTTTCAAGATCTCTTCTTTAAGCTTGGGTTGCTAGGACTGCTCAGGCTGACCCCCAGGGCCTCGGCCACAGTGAGGCTGGGCATGAAATAAGCATGCTCACGTTAATCCCCTCCAGCCCTGCTCCCCTGGCCCTTGAAGGTCTTGGGGACGCCATGTGGAAAGGCCTTCCCCACCAGTCGCTGCCTCACGCTGTGGGGAGGCTGTCTGCCCAAGAGGGCTGGGGCGACTTGGGGTGGCTTCTCGGTCTCTGAGCACCTACTCTTCTGTTCCCCAGGATCCTGCAGGCCCAGGTGCCCCCTGTGTTCCTCCAGCAGCGGCAGCAGTACCAGTACCTGCAGCAGCCCCAGGAGCACCCCCCGCCCCCATCCCCGGCTCCCCTCAGCCAGGGCCCACTAGGCTCCCTCAGCCTACCCGGGGTGGAGGCCCCAGCAAGCGCCCAGGCCTCCTCGGGCAGTGGCCACCTGGCCCAGATGGAGACTGTGCTGAGGGAGAATGCCAGGCTGCAGAGGGACAACGAGAGGCTGAAGAGGGAGCTGGAGAGCTCGGCGGAGAAGGCCGGCCGCATCGAGAAGGTAGGCCCTGCTGGGGCCTCGGAGGGGCAGGGGGAAGAAGGGACCCCGATGGGGCTGGCCTGGCTGGGCTTCTCAGCCGTCCCTCAGCCCCCGCCCCCATCCCTCGTGCACCCTCCCTGGCTGACTCCAGACAGCTGGGGAGCAGCCGGCACAGCAGGCCTGGAGCATGAGCTGTTGCTGCCCAATGGTGATTAGAAAGAGCCCATTCACGGCTACCTCACACTCGCACCCTTCCCCTGTACACACCCCCTCCCGTGGACACCTCCCACAGAGAGCCCTTTGTATCCCCCACACAACAGCAAGTCTGTTCCAGGCCAGCCCTGGCCACAGAGGAAGCCCCTCCTCTTGGAAAAAACGAGCGACTTATTGGAATCACAGGCCAGCGAGGAGCACGTGCAGAACCTGCCAGCCGCCAAGTGGGAGGGGCAGCCAGGGCCAGGCTGGCCCTCTGGGGTGGATGGTGGTGGCTGGAGAGGTAAATCCTCCAAGCAGAGGCAGCTCAGGCTGGGGTCTGGTGCTCCCTTCTTCGTGAAGGGTTACCAGCTGTGCGCTCAGCCTTAGCAGGTGGCCTCAGGCCTCCCGAGGCCATCCTGTGGTGTCCAAGATAAGTCCACCCTCAAGACCATGGTTGGAGTCTTAGTGCCCACTCCTGGGCCCATTGTGCTCGGATTTCTCAAAAGGAAGATGCTTCTTTCCGGACAGTGGGCCCCAGAAAGCTGCGCTTAGTCACACTGCAGGCAGCCACTTCCAGAGAACCTGGCCTTGGGTTTGCTCAGGACCTTGGGACAGTGGAAGGGACCCTCACTTGCCTGTTGCAGCAGTCTGGTCCACCTCTAGAGGCTACAGGCTGCAGCCCGTCCCACCAGAACTAGGTGGATTTTTTTTGCTGTGGCTTTTGATCCTCTCCTCTCTCACCCTTTCTGATGGAGAATAGCAGATCAGACGGGGTCTGTGGAGGGGACCTTGATGCCACTCCCTCCCTGGGAGCTCTCCCCTTCCTTCAGCTCTGCTGTCTGCCTCTTGCAGCTGGAGAGCGAAATCCAGCGGCTCTCTGAGGCCCACGAGAGCCTGACGAGGGCCTCTTCCAAGCGGGAGGCCCTGGAGAAGACTATGCGGAACAAGATGGACAGTGAGATGAGGCGGCTGCAGGACTTCAACCGGGATCTGAGAGGTGAGGACGGCTTACCCAGGTGGAGGGGTGGGGAGTGCCTGCGGACAGCTTGATCCCACTGTTCTAGGGAATAATTCAGAATCTGTCCTCTGCAATAATAGTATAAATTGACTCAAAGGAGCCTAGGCTGAGACTCCTTGGGGGCCACCTTGATAGAGAGATGCTTGTCTCTGTGTTCTAGACCTTAGGGCCCCTCATGGAGCTCCCACCCATGTGGCCCAGCATGACCTGGAGCTTCCCCATGAGCTCACCCCCAACTTGGAGAATGCAGCCCGACAGATAGGACCGAGGGGACACCCCAGCAGGCAGCTTCACCTGTATTCAAACATTTTTCCTTAAAACCTCTTTTCTTTATTTGAAACAGAGAGATTGGAATCTGCAAACCGGCGCCTGGCAAGCAAGACACAGGAAGCGCAGGCAGGCAGTCAGGACATGGTGGCCAAGTTGCTGGCTCAAAGTGAGTAGGGGTCCCACTCAGGAGCCTGGCCAGAGGTGTGGCCAGGACAGCCCCTCTGGACAGGGAGGATCGGCCTCCTCTATCAAAGCAGTGCTTGGAGCTTGGGTTTACTGAATGCCTGCTACGCACCCAGCAGTGGACTAGACCTGGGGGGAGGGGTAGTTTCTGAAGAGGAAAAAGATCTGGTTCTCTGTGTATTGGGGAAATCAGTGGATCCAGAGGGATAGCTGGGGAGCTGTGGTTTGCTGAGCTGTGGTGCTGACCATCGGTTCGGTGTCCTTCAGAAGCATGGGGGAGGCCAGAGAGCCTTGGGGACAGGTGGGATGAGAGAGAAGGAAGAGTCTGAGTCTCCCAGGGGGTGCCCAGGGGGAATGCGGGAAGCTGGGGAACATGGTGAGGCTGGGCCATAACAGGTGGAGGCACCAGCCAAAAATGGAGCATAACCAACAGGGCAGCCCAAAGAAGGGGCTCAGGAGGATCCCCTAAAGAGGGTGGTCAGAGGCTTCTTGAAGAACAGATGAGTTCATTGTTGACCCATCCATTCAGTCACTCATTTGTTCACTAGCACAGCTGTGCTGAGCCCCTGGCCGGCGTGGAGCACAGCAGGAACAGGTCAGGAAGGTGCCAGGGCAGGGAGGTCAAGAGAGGCAGTGAGCTTGAGGAAGGAGCAGGGTCTTCCCACCCCGGATTTCAGGCAACAAGGGTGGCCTGGCCCCGGAGCGGAGATGAGGAGAGGTCCTCAGCAGCCTGAGAGAGGGGCTCTGTGGGGTAGCAGGGTGGGGAGCAGGCCACAGGTGAAGAAGCAGCAGGATAGCTCAAGTGGAGGTTCCAGCAGGGAGTTTGGGGGAAGGGGGAGGACAAAGGGAGCCCCGAGCTCAACAGTAGGAAGCTGCAGCAGTCAGAAGAGACAGAGAGGCAGTTATTTATTAAACTCCTCCTGGATGCTCTTACTATGTGCTATAGTGGTGTTAGGGTGTTTGCAAAGGAGTGGAGTGGGGGCGGCTGGTGTCTGGGTGAGGGTGGCTTCGAGGAAGGAGGAACCCATTCAGAAAGCCTCCTGTGCTGAAGCTGGATACTTAGGGGGTGTCCAGAAGTGGAGGGGCAGCTTGAGGGCTGAGCTGTGCTGGCAGCACCTCCCTCCTCAAGGAGGGCTCGGCCCTGGACAGGGCCGACCAGAGCCCAGCACTGAAGGGCTGGGGGTTGGGGGTGGGCAGGGGGCAGACGGGGCTGTACTGCGGGAGGCGATGACCTAGGGTCTCTGGGAGGGAGGTGGTGTAGGTGAGGGAGAGGGGGGAGGGGACGGCCCCGGAGGTCCCGTTGGGAGTCCGGGGAGGGCGGGTTTCTGGAAGGGGGTTAGAATGGGGCGCCCTGTAGTAGAGGGCCGACTTTGGGGGGGCCGGGCTCTGCCAAAGAAAGGAAGTCACCGGCGGGTTTCTGGGAGCGAGCAGGGGAGGGGCGAAGGGGGAGGCCAGCCTGGAGGCGTTTCCGCTCCCCGGGGAGCGAGCGCCAGGCTGTTCTTGGCTCCAGGCTGGAGCCATTAATCTGGCAGCGGCGGGTGACCTGGATGCCAGGCATTCCTGAGCCCGGGCTGTTCCGGTGCGCC